AATAGAACCTCACAAAAAAGTCTTCCCATTCCTTCAGAGGCATTACAATTTTTTAAAAAGATTTATTTATTACATATACAGTGTTCTGCCTACATGCCAGAAGAGGGCACCAGATTGAATTGTAGATGGTTGTGAGCTACCATGTGGTTGCTGGGAATCGAACTCAGGACCTCTGGAAGAGCAGTCAGTGCTCTTAACCTCTGAGACATCTCTCCAGCCCACATTACAATTTTTTTTATGGAGAATATATATAATGTGTGGACAAATGATTCATGTGTGGTCACACGTGCCATAGAGCCTATATAGAGGTCAAGAGAACTTTCTGGAGTCAGCTCTCTCCTACTCTTGCATGGTTTCTAGGGATTGCATCTTGAGTCACCAGGCTCGCATATCAATTGTCATTACCTGCTGAGCCATATCACTAACCCAAGAATTTTAATATAGGTAAATATTCAACTTTTTTTGTGGATTATGCTTTTATATTTTACCATTTAAGGTAGTTTGGCTAATGAACCCCCCAGAGACCCTCCTTTCTTTGCCTCTTCAGTATGGGATTACAAGTATGTGCAACCACATTGGTCACTTTATAGCTTCTAAGGATCGAATTCATGTTGTCTGACTAGACAACATGCACCTTTACCCAATGAGGTCTCATCTGCATAGGAAATTTAGTAACATTCACTTTGATCTTTTCCTTGTCCCCCTCCACTAGTCACTGCTAGACCTCAGTAACTGGGTCTTCATGTGCTTGCAAGATTCAGTTTTTGTTTTTTTTTTTCCGAGACAGGGTTTCTCTATTGTTTTGGAGGCTATCCTAGAACTCGCTCTGTAGACTAGGCTGGTCTCAAACTCACAGAGATCTGCCTGCCTGCTGGGATTAAAGGCACATACCACCACTGGCCAGCCCCAACCTGATTTTTCTAAGTCTTCCAACCAAAGTGTGTGGTGTCTACCAATGTAATCTATTAGCAATAACTTTTATTGTTCTGGGGCCTCTGGGGTCTCTCTGACCAGTGGAAAGTATCCCACATCTGGCTCTGGGGTTTCCATTTAATAACCTGTGCTGGACTAGAGAGATGGTTAAGAAAGCTCACTGCTTTTGCAGAGGACCCAGTACCCATGTCAGGTGGTACACAACCATCTATAACTCCAGTTCCAGGGGATCCTATTGACTCTGGCCTTTGTGGGCACCTGTGTGAGTACAAACTCACATAAGCACACACATATATGGCTTCTGGAAGCTGGAATTTAATTTGTGTGTTCGATGTTAAGTAGAGATCATCCCTCCTGCATACTATAAAACTCCCCATGCTGAGGAAGAGGGAACTGAAAGTGACATGCATAAAAAGTTAAATAAAAATATTTGGGAAAAAACCTCCCCATGCTATGTGCTTACATTATGTGGTATTTCATTTTCTATACCTCAGTGTAGACTGAGGGGGATGCTACTGGTTTCACCCAGAGACTGGCAATTAGCTAGTCTAGTTTTTTACTTCTGTTTTGTTCTTCCTTGCAGAACAGTCCTCAGACTTAGTAAGTGCCGCCATTCAGGGTTCATAATATGTCCTTGTGCCTCCCACATGCTTGGAATTTGTGTAGGCTGCACAGGGGCTGTAAAGGAGAGTCCCTTGTCACAGCAGGAGAAAGCTTTGTCCTGTCCCTTGCACTTAGCAATGCCTCATCAGAAGCTTTCGGCGTTCATGTAAGAAGCTTAATTTTTCTTGAACTTGAGTGGACTTAGTTTTAAAATTTTGTAGACAAGGTTGTTATCTTTCTTAGATACTAGAAATGTCTTATGAGAAACACATTGTTTGATTTTGTGTTGTGGAAGTGTATATTCTCTGGGAAGGAATTAGTGGTGTTTACAATGGGGGAACTTGAAAAGAAAACCTCCTACAATTATCTCCCATGTCTCATCACCCACTTTCTTCCTTCTTAAATTATTTCCTTCTCCCAAGTCTTCGTAGCAGTTACTCCATTCGGAAAAAGTGAGGAAGAGGTTAAAAAATAATTTGCTTAAAGAAGAAGTGTGGCATGGTGAGAGTGAATGAACACGGGAGGAGATGGGGTGGGGAGCAGAGGGACAGTAAATGAGATTATTTATGCTCACTTACACATTAGGACTCAGGGCTTCCAGTGTGTCTTTCTCCTTAGGGCAGCCTTGAACCTGCTCAAGGATGTTTAGGAGAAAGCATTTTTTCCAGGGTGGTAGGAAGGGGAGGACTTTGTGTTTCTAGTCCCTTTTCAAGTGTGTATGTTTGATCCAGCTTAGTGCTGGAAGGGTCAGCGGTGGGAGAAACCTCAGTCTTAACCAGTCATGCTCTTGATGTTAAAATAATGAAAATCTGTAGGCTTTTACATGTGTATATGTTTCTACTTAAGGACTATGATATATATATATTTTATATGCATTAATACTAGAGATAATTTGGTTTGAAACCAGTTATTCAGATTTAAAGGGATGTGAATTACATTGATTAGACAATCACAAGGTTGTTTTTCTTGTGCTTCTGCATTTCCTGATTTTTGTTGTTTTTGTGGTCGATTCTTATTGGCAGTGATTATAAACATTAGATCCATAGTGACTCTTGTTTCTTTCCTGTAATAATTGACACTGAAAAAAGAGGCTTTTGTCAAAGGGTTAAAATGGAAATGCTTTTCATGCCTTTAATCCTAGCACATGGGAGGCAGAGGCAGGTGGATCTCTGAGTTCTAGGTCAGCCTGGGCTACCCAGAAAAACACTCTCAAAAACAAAACAAAGCAAAAACCAAAACCAAAACAAAAAAGAAGTTGCTTCTGGTTGTAGTTATCCTGCAATTACTGACGTGTCTGAGTTTACAAAGGAAAAGTCTGAACGAGTGTGAGGCTGCGGAGATAAGCTTCTAAGTGTTCTAGTCGGTGAGAACACAGATTCAGTGTGTGTGTGTGTGTGTGTGTGTAGGTTAGAAGACAGTTTGTGGGAGTTGATTCATTCCTTTCATGTAGCTCCTAGGGATCAAACTTGGGTTGTTAGGATTGGTGACAAGCACTTTTATTGGCTGAGCCATCTTGCTGGCCATAAATTCTTACGTGATTTCTTATAGTAAAAGGCATATAGTAACTACTGACTGAAGATTGGGGCTGTTAATATTGTTTTTCAAGGAAGTACAGATGAATTTTGAAGTTTACTTATCTGCGTTTTGTTTTCATTAAAATTATCAGCTGAGCTGGGCGTTGGTGGCATACACCTTTAATCCTAGCACTCGGGAGGCAGAGGCAGGCGGATCTCTGTGAGTTCGAGGCCAGCCTGCTCTACAGAGTGAGTTCCAGGACAACTTCCAAAACAATACAGAGAAACCCTGTCTTGAAAAAACAAAACAAAACAAACAAAATTATCAGCTGGGCTGAGGATGTAGTTCAGTGGTAGCGCTTGTCTAGCATGTATTCAGTGCTGGGTTTAACCCCAGTACCACAAACAAAACTTAATGCCTGGGTATGGCAGTTTACACCTGTAATCTCAGTATTTGGGAGGTTGAGGCAGTTGGGCTACAAAATGAGTTTCAGACCAGCTTGGTCTATAGACTGAGACTATCTCAAAAACTAACACCAAACTAAACCAAACCAAACCAAACCAAACCAAACAAAGTAACCAAGGTTGGGGATATTGCTGGGAAGAGTACTTGCCTAAAATACAAAAGCCGAATATCAGAAAGGAAGATCATGTCCTGTTAGGAAGATATATTGTTGATTAGATCTGTTTATTATTTAGAGGCAATACTTTTCCTGGAACAGTACTTGATAGCCTAGGTGCATGGACATTTTATTGTGGAAGTATTTGAGGGAGTCAGGTGAACTTAACTTTGCTTTACTGAAATATGATAAGATGTCCTTTGTAGTGTATGTATGTTATATTTATTCATCTGCTATATAACTGATGACTGTATATGTATATGATAAGGATTAGAACCAGCCATTAGAGATAATTGATGGTAAGTATAATCGATGATGTGTGAGATAAAGTAGGTGGATTAGAAGTTCTTATTTTTAATTTAATAATAGTAAATATATTTTTTTAGAAGACTTATAAATTTAGAAGACTGTAGTTACTGCAGTTGTGGGCTACCTGATGTGGGTGCTGGTGACCAAACTCAGGTCTCTAGAAGAGTAGCAAGTATTCTTTTTTTGTTTGTTTGTTTTTTTCAAGACAGGGTTTCTCTGTATTATTTTGGAGGCTGTCCTGGAACTCGCTCTGTAGACCAGGCTGTAACAAGTACTCTTAAATTGCCAAGCCATCTCTCTAGCAACTTAACTACGTTTTGAGTCAGGATCTCATTGTATCTTCAGCTTCCAGTCTTCCTGCCTCAGCCTCATGGAGAATGCTGATATTACAGTTAGGTGCTACCATGACCAACAATAGAGTTATTCTTAAAATTTTTACACTTACAAATATTTTTTGACATTTATCTTGTGTGAGTGTGGGGATCAGAAGACAACTGGTGGGAGTCGGTTCTCTCCTGCCAACATGTGAGAGTCAGGGATCAAACTAAGGTCATCAGGCTTGGGTGTTTTACTGGCCCAACAATTGAGTTCTTCAATATGAAGATCAGGGCCTTGTAGAGAAAAACCTTTTTGTGCAAGAGTTAGACTTAGATAACTTATGGGTCAGAGACACCCAGAATGGAGAGATTTAAACGTAAAAGCAGATATAGTAGTACAATGTCAGAGAGCATTTGACTAAGCTTGCACAAGAACCACCAACTAAATGAATAAACAGTGAAGACTGTCTGTGGGCCTGGGTAAAGCTGGATTGATGTATGTCTCTATGTAGCTGTAAGCCTTTTCCATTCTGCACTGACTATGAAGCAGATGCCAAGGTCAGCTGCTTCTATTAGGGAAATCTGCCTGTGAGGAACCCTCTGCTGTGTGTAGACTCGGGGACTGTAGAAATCTTGGGGTAGGAAGTAAGAAATACAAAAACAATTCCTCCAATGAAGCTTCTGTTTGATTTTTTGTTTTCCAGTGATGCCATCTGCAATTTTGTCATTTGCAATGATTCTCCCCTTCGAAGTCAACCTATTATCTTCAATCCTGACTTTTTTGTGGAGAAACTCCGACATGAGAAACCAGAGGTGTTCACCGAGTTGGTGGTCAGCAATATCACAAGACTTATTGATTTGCCTGGAACTGAGTTGGCTCAGCTGATGGGGGAAGTGGACCTTAAGTTGCCTGGTGGTGCTGGCCCAGCCGCAGGCTTCTTCAGGTCTCTAATGTCTCTCAAGCGGAAGGGTAGGTCTTGTGTCTGGGTTTTAGCTGCTGATTTGGATTTATTCTCTTGAAAACAAATGTATTTAGAAATTATGTTATCTGTTGTGCCTACTTGTTTATGCACCAGGTACATGCAGGTGCCCATGGAAGCCGGAAGAGGGTGTCAGATGCCCTGGAACTGGAGTTACAGGCAGTTGTGATCCATGCCAGGTCCTCTGCTGGAGTAACAGTGCTCTTAACTGTTGAATGGGGCTCCCAGGACTCTGCTTTATCTCCTTAACATTTTCACCCTCACTGGAAGTTGTAATTATCCTAAAGCTTTTTTCATCTTTCCGCCTCATTTTCATTAGTAGAACTTTAGACAGTAATAATAAAAATTATAAAACTGTCTAGGTGAAGAAATACTTAAACCTGGTGTGGTGGTGCAAGTCTTGTAATCTCAGCATTTGGGTGACTGAGGTAAGAGTATCTGGAGTCTGAGGGCATCTTGGACACATAGAAAGAGGAAGAAGAGGAGAAGGAGGAGAGAAGAGAAGGAAAGGGGAGAGGAGAGAAGATAGAAAATATATTCAGTGCCTGAAAGAGGATATGATTAGTTTAGGCAGTTATCAAGGGCATCTTAATTTTCATGCCCTATGACTATTGTACTAAAATAATGTTTTTCAGGTGACCTTCTGTTCTTCCTTTCTCTCTTTCTTTATGAGTTGGTATCTCACTCTATTACCTAGGCTGATCTTACTAGACTCAAGTGATCATCTTGCTTTAGCCTTAGCTGGGACTACAGGAATGCACTGCTCTGTTCAGTTAAAATGATACTAGAGAAAATAAAGTTATATAGCAGGATAGTATAGTCAAGGAAGCCTGAACAATTACTGAAGATCAAAAAAATAGTTTATATACAATGAAAATTCTCAAAGAATACACACATATGCATATGTTTTTTGATCCTGTCTGCCTCCTTCCCCTCCGGTTCCCCCTGGACTCCTCCCAAGTATATCCCCATCTGAGTTTCATGTTCTCTTTCCTTCCTTTCAGTTTATTTTAGACAGGATCTCATATGTATCCCCGACTGGCCTGGAACATGCTATGTAGACTAGGGTAGCTTTGAACTCAACCAGAGATCTACCTGCCTCTGTTCCCCAGGGTTAAGATTAAAGGTGTGTGTTACCTTGCCCAACCTTTTTTCCCCCTCCCAAGATAGAGTTTCTCTGCATAGACCTAGCTATCCTGGAACTCACTCTGTAGACCAGGCTGGCATTGAACTCAAGAGATCTGCCTGCCTCTGCCTCCTGAGTTCTGGGATTAAAGACAGGCACCACCATTTCGTAGCTTTTTTTTTTTAAATAACCTACAGAGTCTGATTTGTGCTGCCTGCATGCACAGCTATGGGAACATGAAGAATTTACTAGTGGCTACACACTCAGAGAAAAATGGCTCTCCCTGCCCCAGCAGCCATCAACTGCAATAGCTCCTCAGCTGGGGTGGGGCCTGTAATGTTGATTACTTGATCTTGTGCAGGTATCATAGTTGCTGTGAATTCGTAAGTACAGCGACTGTTTCATGTCCAGAAGAGAGCACTTCATAGCATTCTTCTCCATCCCCTGGTTCTCTCTCTCTCTCTCTCTCTCTCTCTCTCTCTCTCTCTCTCTGTCTCTCTCTCTCTGTCTCTGTCTCTCTCTCTCTCACACACACACACACACACACACACACACTCTGTCCCCTTTTATCTCGTGTTCCTTGAACCCTTTGTAGAGAATGCTGACATGGGTGTACCATTTAGGGTTGAATACTCATAATCAGCTATTCACAGCATTGTGACCATTATGAGTCTCTACATTAACTGATGCCCACTTGGGAAAGGTTTTCTGACTGAGGTTGAGAGCAGCTCACATCTGTAGCGTAAACATTTAAAGACAGTTTGACAGCTTGACAATTTAGCAAAACACTAGTAGGTTGCTCCTGAAAGCCTTGGACTTTTGACCAGGCTTACAGTACCATATATGAATTCCCTCCTATGGAGCAGTCCTCAAAGCCAATCAGGAAGTGTAGAGCACTACTTTTTTCTTTTAACGATTTATTTATTTTATTTTTTCTGTGCATTGGTGTTTTACCTGCATGTAAGGGTGTTGGATCCCCTGGAACTAGAGTCACAGACAGTAGTGAGCTGCCATGTGGGTGCTGAGAATTGAACTCAGATCCTCTGGAAGAGCAGCCATTTTTCCAGCCCTGGAGCACTTCTTTTGCTAAGATATAAAGAGGCCCTATTTTATTTTATTAAATATAAGAAAATCATTAAGGCAGGGTGGAGTATTTAAACATTAAAGATCATATCCTGTACCAGCTCTAGTGAATAATTACTGTGACACACAATCATAGTTCAGGTTCTCTTTTTGTTTTTAAATTAAATCTCAATGTGCTAGGTATTGTTTCTTAGATAAGGAAAAGTGTCTGTAGGAATTCATGATCTGATGCTGAATTTAGAGAGAATTGACTTGACAGTTGTTCTGACAGCATTTTTTTGGTGTATTTCTAGTTTTTAGTCTTACTTTTTTTTTATTTTTGTTTACCAATGTTGTAAAAACATTAAATGAAAGTAGAATGCTTGATTTTAAAATCATGGTATTTGGGCTAGTGAGGAGGCTTAGCAGGTAAAGGCATCCACTGCCAGCCTGGTGACCTGAGTTTGAGCCCCAGGACCACATGGTGGAAGGGGAGAACCATCTTCTTTAAGTTGTCCCCTGAACACCACATGTTTGTCATGCCCCCTTTCTGTGAACAATGCATATGTGTAAAAAGAATCATTACGTCGATAGTCTTGTACTCTTGGTTATATAACCCTGAGACATATTTTTTTTTCCAGAAAAAGGAGTGGTATTTGGATCTCCTCTGACAGAGGAAGGCATTGCTCAGATATACCAACTGATTGAATATCTGCACAAAAGTAAGACTACTCAAAGTGTTCCATTGAGAGTTGACTGATGGGTAGTAGATGCCAAACTACCCTCAACAAAGAAATGAACCACTGATTTTTAGGTGGTAGATTTTAAAAATATATTTCCTTTTGAATTTCATGACAATTATTGATTTGCTTTGCTTTCAAAGATGTAAGTAAAGTACATAATGTCTATGAAATCATAATTACCTTTTAGAAAATTCTGGAAGAATTTCTTGTTCCTAAAGAATTATGATATCTGTTCAAGAAAGCATAATGCTTCCATCTTCAGAACTCTGTGATTAATGTACACACGAAGTCTCACTTAGTTTTTAGTGGTCCTGCGAGTCATGTCATTGTTCTAAGAGCTCAGCATAGCTAAGAACATGTAAAATGTGGAGCCTTGTGAGACTTGATGCATTTAAATACCAACCAGATATGCCTTTCTGACTTACTGGGTGTGCAACGCTATGATAGGAGGAGCACAGTGGAGATTGTGGACTCAAGTTTTGAAAGGGTTTGCAGTGTCTGGATTTGTGGGTTTTTAAGAAGTTTTTACATTTTTTTATTTTGGCGAAAGTTCTGATTAAAACCCATCAGGGTTTTAAGATGGGGAGAGTGGAGGTTTTCAGCTTGTTTGTGTGATGAGAGTACCTGGCTTCCTTCAGCCCAGCTGCTGTGTAGACATGGTCTGCTGGAGCTCAGGGATGTGTTGTACAGTTTGTTGTGGATCCCAGTCATTCCTTTGCTGTCACCTGCCTGGCCCTGAAATGGGGGAATACACAAAGATGTAAACAGATCAAATAGTGTGACTGTCTATCTGTCTTTTTGAAATCTCTTTACATGAGCTTAGAACCTCAGTCGGTGGGAGCAGCTCATTTAGGATGACCTAAGCCTTTGGGAGTCTCTTAGCTGCAGGGTGATCTGTTAGAATCTGAGTCACACAATAATGCAGAGATTCTGGGTTTATTCTTGGCTGAAGAAAACACTTTACAGGAGCCACAAACGCTCATAGATGAACTCAGCTCCTTGAGAGGAACAAGGATGATAAAGGGGTATTGAGATGTGGTTTTATTTTATGTTACTTTTCAAGCTTTTTTTTTTTGATCATTGGCTGTGTTAACTTCAGTATTCAGTGGTATCTCAGGAGGACCTTTTCAGGACCACCTTTCTGTTTGAGTCCTCTCTAGGTGCTCAGGGGCCTAAAAGGTCTCAAGCTTCCCTAGAATTATTGGCAGAGCCTCCTTTATGAAGGTGCTGTGCAAGGTCTTTAAAGGGAAGCCATGTTTATACCGTGTACATTAACCACGGTTCTCCTCTGTTTCCTCCCGGCTGTCCATGCTAAGCAGACTTGCGAGTGGAAGGCTTGTTCAGAGTACCGGGCAACAGTGTCCGACAGCAGCTTTTGAGGGATGCTCTCAACAGCGGAACTGATATTGACTTGGATTCAGGAGAGTTTCACTCAAATGATGTTGCTACACTGCTGAAGATGTTTCTAGGAGAGTTACCAGAACCCCTCCTGACCCATAAACATTTCCATGTACACCTTAAAATTGCTGGTGAGTATAAGAAGTGAGAAAGAGATGAAAATACTTTTTGCGAAGCCCTTTGTGATGGTCGTTACTCACTGTGACACTCTAATGTTGATTCAGACTTGATGATCCTAATGGCCTCCCCTGGGTACTTACAAATCTTGGCTAGTTAAGTTTGATTTGATCAATTTTCTTCTTCATCATCTTTCTCCTTTTAAAACATTAAAAACTACAATGACTTTGTGTGTTCGTGTGCAGATGACATGGCTGGTGTGCATGTGGAGGTCAGAGGACGAGTTCTGGGAGTCAGTTCTCTCCTAGCGTGTGGGTCTCCAGGGCTGACCTCAGGTCATTAGGCTTCTGAGACATCTCACTGACCTTAAATGCTTTTCTTTAAAAAATGTGTGTTTTGCAGCTGGAGAGATGTCTCAGCAGTTAAGAGCACTACCAGAGGACCTGGGTTCAATGGTTCAGTACCCATGTGGCGGCTCACAACCATCTATAACTCCAACAAGTACTCTTAACCTCTGAGTCATCTATAAATCCCCTTAAATATTTTTGATAAATTTCTTGTTTTATTTATTTATTTAGGTTTTTCGAGACAGAGTTTCTCTGTGTAGCTTTGGAGGCTGTCCTGGAACTCGCTCTGTAGACCAGGCTGGCCTTGAATTCACAGAGATCCACCTGCCTCTGCTTCCCAAGTGCTGGGACTAAAGGCGTGTGCCACCACTGCCTGGCTTGTGTTGATTTTTGTATCTCTGATGTAGACCACCATAGCACTTGGAACATTTCAATTGCTCGATAAAGGTGTGCTTTCACATTGGGTTGGACGTGTCACTGGGTTTATTCCTCTCAGGTGGTTGCTGGTTCTGTGCTTTTGGTTTGGTTTGGAGTTTTTGCAGGTATTTCTATGCCTAAGTTGAGGTCATCTTTGCCTTTGCAAGCTCTTCTTTAAAAGCATTATTATTTGCATATTGAGTAGGAAGTCTACCCGCATGGTGAAGATGGAAAAGCTTCTCTCCCACCTTGTTCCCTAGCACCAGCTCTTCCCAGAGACAGCCACTGCTGTCTAATGTAGCCATCCAGAGGTGTTTGTACACTATGTATATATATTCTTTTCTCCCTCTGTTTATGTAATGGCAGAATATTACACACATTGTTCTGTGTTTGCTTTTTCACTTACTGTATCTTGGAGACTGTTCTATTCTTGGCTCATAGTTTCCTCATTCTTTGTGTCTATGTGGTAGGGAATTCATTCTTAAGTTGAATAGCTATTATGCTACAGTAGGCTCTAAGTGCACACTGTGTCAAAATCCAGGCTTAGTTTTCCACCCATGGCATTTCTTCTCTCTCTTTCCACCCCTTTTCCTCTACCTTTCATTTTCTCTGCTTCCCTCTCCCCTTCCTCTCCTCCCTCTCTTTCTCACTACCTGCCTCTGTGAGACAAGAGCACTTAACCTCTGAGCCATCTCTCCAGCCCTTTAGCTAAGATTTTTTTTTTTTTTTGGTTTTTCGAGACAGGGTTTTTCTGTATTGTTTTGGAGGCTATCGGTCCAGCCCAGCCTCGAACTCACAGAGATCCGCCTGCCTCTGCCTCCCGAGTGCTGGGATTAAAGGCATGTGCCACCAACGCCCGGCTTTAGCTAAGATTTTTAAAGTCACATTCATTGGCAATTTTGATAGTACAGATGAGGCTACGTTACAAATATGCATAGAATTTTATAGTTACATTTCAGAGAAAGAGTTTTAGATCCTTGAAAAAGATTAGAAAGCATAACTGTTATTTTATGTGTTAACATATAGTGTGTTTGTTTTCTTTGCCTTCCTGGTGAGCTCTTCATTGGTACAGTATCTGACATCCTCCACTGTGCTGCCAGGTGAGTTACTACTCTTGAGAATATATGAAGGTGTGGCACCGTTGGAGAGAAGCTGCTTGGAGTCATCCTGTGCATGATTCCCTCTGACTTATCCGTTAGCTACAACCTATCTGACTAGGGAAGAGAAGGACTGACATTGTCAGAGCTGTGTGTGGACTTAAAATCATTCTTTTGGGTATTGCTGGGGCACAATTGTAACTTTTTGATGCACAGCCCAAATGTTTTCCAAAGTAGTTACACTGGAACTGGAGAGAAGGCTTAGTGGTTAAGAGTACTGGCTGCTCTTCCAGAGGACCCTGGCTCAATTCCCAGCATTCACTTGGTGGCTCGCAGCTATCTGTCATTCTAGTTTCAAGGGATCTGATGCTCTTTTCTGGCCTCAGTGGGCAGCGCACACACAGATGCACAGACATACTTGCAGCAGAGACTCACACAGATCAGAAGAGACCCAACGTGATTACACCGTTTCACACTCCACCTGCAACGGAAGGTTCAGTGCTGTGTTCCAGTATTTGTACTGTCAGTGCTTTTGTTCAGACCATCCTAGTAGGTGTGAAGTGGTATCTTGTGGTTTTACTGATAGACAATTCAACATGCTTAGGCTTACTGACCCTTGTTTGACTTCTCCCGTCTTTCCTTTCTCTTCCATTTCTCCTTTTCTTCAAATTGACACAGCCCTGCTAAATTACCTCAACCTCACAATCCTTCTACCACAGCCTCCTAAGTAGCTAAAACTGTAGGTGTGTGTAACCATGCCTGGCTTGTGTATGTTATTTTTTTGGAAGGGATTCTATTCAGTTTTTTGTAGTTTGCTTTTTTTTTTTTTTATTCTTTTCCTTTGCAATAAGGTGCCACTATTATGACTCAGACTGCCTGTCAACCTTCTGAGTACTAGGCACAGGGGTATACATCACCCCACCTAACCTTCTACTTAAATCTTTTCCATATTTTAAAATTGGATTGTCTTTAGTTATTGAATTAGATTGACATATATTTGTTATGTTTTGCATTTTCTTGTTCTGGGGCTCATGCTAACATGTTCATAGTCACACAGGAAGTACCTTGCAAAGCCCATCGCCCATTTTATTTTTACAGTGTTAGTATTTGAATCTAGGACCTTCCCTAAGGTATAGCAGTTTTGAATTTCCTTTATGATTGAGTCTTTTATTCCTTCTCTTTCTTTAGTGGGACTGAGGGGGAAATAATAATACTAGCTTTGACTTTTCCTTCTGGTTTATTCCTTTCTGTCCAATTTTTTTCTCAAGATTTGATGCAGTTTGATGATAAAGGAAACAAGACCAACATACCAGACAAGGAGCGGCAGATTGAGGCCCTGCAGCTGCTTTTCCTCATCCTGCCTCCAGCTAACCGTAACCTGCTGAAGTTACTGCTTGACCTCCTTTACCAGACCGCGAAGAAGCAAGACAAGAATAAGATGTCCGCCCACAACCTTGCCCTCATGTTCGCACCCCATGTCCTGTGGCCCAAAAACGTGAGTATTGAGGGAAGATCTTTAGGGCTGGTTTCTCAGGCTGGGCCCCTCCTGTGGCTGTACACTGGTGAGGCTCTCAAGGGTCCAAGGTCCAGCCTTCATACTCATGAGGTTAGGAGTCATCAAAACGGAGGGCCTGCTTCCTGTAACCTCACTGATAAGTCAGTCTCTAGTAACCCTACATGGCCACTTCTTCCTGAACATTCTAGCTGCTAAAGAAGCTAGAATATTTGTTTTGGCTAGACAGTGTGAATCCCATCTTAATAGGAATGCTCCTTGGTAAATAATATTGATTTCTAATGATTGAAGGATTAATACAAATTAATTTCTGAAGGTTTAGAATAGAGTAGTGTGATCATGTGAGATAATATTTCAAGCTGGCAGAGCAGTCTAGCCTGTCCCAACAGTTTTACTCCAATAGATTCAGTTTTCTTTCATAAAACTGAGTGTCTTCTTACTGGGGCCACGGCTTCATTAGTGGCTTAGCTTTTAAAATAGTTTGCTAAACAAATGTTTGACCTGGATACACAAAGCTCAGGTCCCTGTGCTCTCACAGCACAGGCCTTGATGGGAGATGAGATTATGAGTAGTTTATTTGGGTTGGAAACTATAACCCAGATCTGTACCTGTTTCTTTATACTTCCCTTGTAAAGTGGGCATGGAGTAGTTGTTACCAGTTACCTCACAAGTTGTTAACAAATAAAAATAGATTGTTAGAGTGACTAGTGGAAAGTTTTTGAGAGTATAATAAGGAGTGAGGCAGTGGTGGCACATGTCTGTAATCCCAGCACTCAGGAGACAAAGGTAGGCATATCTCTGAGTTTGAGACCAGCCTGATCTACAAAGCAAGTTCAGGACAGCCAGGGCTGTTAAACAGAGAAACCCTGGCTTGAAAAACCAAAACCAACCAACCAATCAAACAAACAAAAAAACAACAACAAAAAAAAAAAGAAGAAGAAGAAAGAAAGAAAGAAAGGAAGGAAGAAAGAAGGAAAGGAAAGTTAAAGACAGAGGTCATATGTATCATTTTATCTTTATAAGTAACAAGTCAAAATTAATGGACTACTCTGAACTAGGAAAAGCCAGGGATGGGTTAATGGGGAGCAGATATACTTGTCCACATCAAGGAGCTCAAGTCTCAATTGTGAAGGCTTTTGAGTTAGCTCACCAAGTTCTAGAGGGCTGGGCATGAAGCTTATTGTCAGAGCTATACAGAAACAAGCTGTGGCTATAAAAAGAAGCATGTGTGGGGCCTTGGGAAGAGCAAATAGATAAAATAACAAGGATGAAGGCATGGTATAAAGAGATGCTGAAATGCTTAAAAAGGCAAGAGAAACAAGAGAAGGAATCAATAGCAGTTTGACTGTATTGTTGAAAGATGTCGACTCTAGGAGCATTAGTATATGGTCTCTGAATGAAAGCCCCAATCTCTGTAGAGCCAGTGGTCTTGACGGCTGGTACAGACTGTGGCCTTTCTGCTAGGTTAGATTTTCTGCTTGTGTGTCTGTGAGCAGAAGTAGGAAATGAGGAAAGCTGGTCACTTTAGGGACACATATCTGTGCTATTATGTCATTTCCAGTGGAAACCTGCTAACTCAAAGCCTTTCAGTGACAGAGTACTGGTGAGCACTTCCTAGTTCTTGATGCCCTTTCTTTGGTCTCTTTACACTGACTAGGTCACTGCAAATGACCTTCAGGAGAATATCACAAAGTTAAATACTGGGATGGCGTTTATGATCAAACACTCCCAGAAACTTTTTAAGGTAGGTAAGGGATGGCATTTGGCTGGCCACAGGACAAGGAAGACGGGGGCAGAGTGGGCTCCTGGATGAGAGGCACTGTTTGGGATTGTAAAGCAGAATGGATGGTGGGTGGGCTAGAAGCAGGCTAACTGGCTTCCTGCCTTCATGGAAGGAAGCCGGAGCTGGTGGTTGCCTAGTTTTATCTTGCCTGCCTACCCAAGGTTTTAGGTTTGACAGCCCCCTTTTGTGTCACACTCTGTCTCTTTCAGCTCAAGCAGATGGTGTTTCTGGGGGTACGTGTCTCAACAACTTTGTATGTCTTCTGTAGATTTCAGGGTTTAGTCCTTCACACAAAAGCTATGTGTACTGATCTCTGAAAGTGAAGTCCTCTGCTTTGGTCTCCTGCTGAGCAGCTGAGCTGCACTGTCTGAGCTTCCTAAAGGCTCCCTGCTTCAGGGAGAGGATCCCAGCTGTCCTCCAGATAGGACAGATTGCACACCCTGACCCCCTGCCGGTGCTAAGCATTCAGGAATGGCTCCTGCAGGCACATCTTGGCCATTAGAGTATATCTCTTAGATAGGGACTCCTGTCATCTGGAGAGGATGAGACTATCCCGGAGCACCACCTCATTCTGGTCCTCTCTTTTCTTTTATTTAAAGTAAACTTTATTATTAAAAAAATCCTCATAAGCCAGGTGTGGTGGCACTGGCTTTTAATCCCAGTACTCAGGAGGCAGAGGCAGTTGGATCTCTGAGTTTGAGGCCAGCCTGGTCTATGGAGTGAGTTTCAGGACAGCCAGGGCTACATGGAGAAACCTTGTCTCACAAAACCCCAAACCAAACCAAACTGAAATAACAACTATAAAACCCTTGCAAATAAAATAAAATAAAGGTACCACACAACAAAATTAACTCATAAAGTCTATACAACTTAAAATGAACTTACTTACAGTTAGAATTGACACTGGAAATGGAACCTGTGAAGCTTCATGTTTCCTTTTGTACTCTCAGAATTGATATGTATTATATTTTATGCACATATCCACGAAGACTTAGAATTAGCTTCACATCCTCTTCCTAGGACACCGTGTCTGTGACCTGTGTTCAGCCTTCATCACTCACTGATACTTAGTGTCTTCCCTCTTCTTCATGTTGTGCTGCACCCACGTATGCTCTTGCTACATATCCACATACGACCTTGCTTAATAGTGCACATTCTAAGTCTATCAGACTTCCTGCAAAATTTTAACCTCATTTTTCTTTAGAGTATTCTATTTTTTATATATACCAAATTTTCATTATCCTTTTATCTGTTGATAGACAACTAGATCAATTCCAATTTTTTTGCTATGGTGATTAAAGCAGCGACAAGCAACTGCTCTATGGTATGGAGTTCTCTGGATATACATGTTCAGGAATGAAATAGCTGGGATGTATGGTAGCTCTATTTTTTATTTTTTCGAGATAGGATCTCTGTGTAACTCTGACTGTACTGGAACTCAGTCTGTAGACCAGGCTGGATTTGAACTCACAGAGATCCGCCTGAGTGCTGGGATTAAAGTCATGAGTCATCACCTTCTGGCTGGTAGCTCTGTTTTTAATATTTTTATTTTTTGTCTTTTTATGATTGACTTACTTACTCAAATTGATCCTCACAGTAGCATGTGACAGCTTTTCCTTTCTTAAGGCTGTATAGTATTCCATTGTGTGTATCCCACATACTGTTAATCTAGCCATATGTGAATAAACACTGAGACTGCTTCTCTGGTGAAGCGGTTGTGAGTAATGCTGCTGTGAACATGGATGGTTAAACATTCCTTAGAGCCCTGCCTTTATTCTTTTTATTTTTGTTTTTGGTTTTTTGAGGTTTCTCAGAGATCACCTGCCTCTGCCTCCTGAGTGTGCACCACTGCTGCCTGGCTCCTGCCTTTATTCTTTTTGGTATATTTCCAAGACCATATGGTAATACATTTAATTTTTTTTTTTTTTTTTTTTTTTTGGTTTTTTGAGACAGGGTTTCTCTGTGGCTTTGGAGGCTGTCCTGGAACTTGCGTGGTAGTCCAGGCTGGTCTCGAACTCACAGAGATCCGCCTGCCTCTGCCTCCCGAGTGCTGGGATTAAAGGCGTGCGCCACCAACGCCCGGCTACATTTAAATATTTTTGAGAATCTGCCACACTGTTTTCCATTTTTCCTAGTAGTAGAGTAGGATCCATGTCCTTAACAGCCCCTTTTTTCCTGATAGTTTATTTATTTGTTTATCTATTTGTTTATTTATTTATTTTTTCGAGATAGAGTTTCTCTGTAGCTTTGGAGCCTGTCCTAGAACTCACTCAATAGACCAGGCTGGTCTCGAACTTACATAGATCTGCCTGCCTCTATCTCCTGAGTGCTGGTACTAAAGTTGTGCACCACTACCTCCCAGCTCCTGATAGTTATTTTCTCATTGTTGTTGTCATAATGAGTGTGGGATGGGTCTCACGGTAGTTCTGATGTCTGTAGAGATGGGTAATGTGGAACATTTTTTCTTTTTAAATTTATTTATTTATTTTTAAAGATTTATTTATTGTGTATAAGGTGTTCTACCTGCATGTATTCCTGCAGGTCAGAAGAGGGCACCAGATCTCATTACAGATGGTTATGAGCCACCATGTAGTTGCAGGGAATTGAACTCAGAACCTCTGGAAGAGCAGCCAGTGTTCTTAACCACTGAGCCATCTCTTTAGCCCCTGGAACATTTTTTTCATTATTCATAGTTACTGCTTGTTCTATTGCTGACAAGACACAGTGGCTAAGGCTACCTTTTGATTGTTTTTGTTTTGTATATTTGATTTTTTTTTAGAGACAGAGTCTCTCGATATAGCCCTAGCTGCCTTGGGACTCTTTATATAGAGCAGCCTGTCCTTGAACTCATAGATATCCACCTGTCTCTGCCTCCCAAATACTGGGATTAAAGGTGTGCACCACCAAGCACAGCTAATCGAGGCAACTTGGAAAAGAAAGCATTTAATTTAGGCTTACCGTTTTAGAAAGTTAGAGCCCATGATGGCAGAGTAAAGGCATGGCAGCAGGAACAGCTGAGAGCTCACTTCTTGATCTGCAAGCAGGAGGCAGACAGAGAGACACTGGGAATGGTCTGTATTTCATGTTGGCTCACGTGAGTACCATGTGTTGTTTCCCAACAGACCTGTTGAGATGCTTATTTGGTCAAATACGGTATTTTGGCAAGTATTTGGCTTTCCACAGCAAACTACCCATTAGATAATGTTATGATTCTCTTTCTGTGGCCTGAAAGAATTGTTGTCCTGTTAACCACTGAGCCCTAGTTTTCTTTTCTGTCTTGCTCAGGCTCCTGCTTATATTCGGGAATGTGCCAGATTGTACTATCTGGGCTCCAGAACTCAAGTGTCAAAGGTAAGTACAGGAAACTGATCTTCAAAAAAGGGAAGAATTGAGATTAGTGAAGTTTTAAAACAAAGTAATATCATCATTAAGCCAGCACTTTTTTTTGTTTTGTTTTGTTTTTTTTTTGTTTGTTTGTTTGTTTTCGAGACAGGGTTTCTCTGTGGCTTTGGAGGCTGTCCTGGAACTCACTTTGTAGACCAGGCTGGCCTCGAACTCACAGAGATCCGCCTGCCTCTGCCTCCCGAGTGCTGGGATTAAAGGCGTGCGCCACCAACGCCCGGCTTAAGCCAGCACTTTTAATGTTACAGCTCAAGCTTACTTTAGCAGGGACAAAGACTAAGGAGAAAGTTGTGGAGTTAAAATGCTCCTATGTATAATATGCTTGCTTGTTTGCTTTCATAGTTATACACATTCTCTCTCTCCTCTCTCTCTCTCTCTCTCTCTCTCTCTCTCTCTCTCTCTCTCTCTCTCTCTCTCTCTCTCTCAATGAGGAAAAAAAGATTAGCATTCTAGATTGCTTCTGCTGCTGTGATAAACACTACGACCAAGGCAGCTTAGGGTAGAAAAGGGTTTATTTCATCTTACACTTCCAGGTTACAATGCATCACTGAGAGGAGTCAGGGCAGTAGCTTAAAGAGAAACCTGAAGAGGAAACCATGACTGAAGCCGCTTCCTGGCTCACTCACCTCATGCTTAGCTAGCTAGCTTTCTAAGATAGTCTAGGCTTACCTGCCTAGAGATGGGGCTGGGCCATCCCATATAAGTTGTCAATAAGGGCAGTCAGTCCCTAATAGATATGGCCACAGGTCAGCTCCTTGTTGGTTGTGTCCAAGCTGAGAATAAAAGTTTAGCCAGCGGCATTTGAGAGCAAATGAGCTTAGAGAAATATATGGTGTTTATTAATAGAAAATTATGTGAGAGTATTGAGCTGTAGCAGTGAGAAACTGAGAAGGCCTGACCAGCACATGACTGACTTGTGTTTAGCCTGAGTTAGAGACTTCATGCTCTGTTTCCTACTCCTGTTTCTTTCTCTCATCCAGCAAATATTTGGTATGGCTAAGAAACAATCTTTTGCTTTTAAAAAGATTTATTTATTTTTATTTTATGTGCATTGATATTTAACTTGTATTCATGTCTGTGTGAGGGTGTTGGATCCCCTGGAACTTGAGTTACAGGCAGTTGTGAGCTGCCATGTGGATGCTGGGAATCGAACCAGGGTCTTCTGGAAGAGTAGCCAGTGCTCTTAACTACCAAGCCATCTCTCCAGCCCCAGAAATGTCATCTTAAAAGCTAGTTTAACTAGGGTGTTGTTTTCCTTGGAGAGCTGTAGCTTTTTTTCCTTCACTACTTTCATGTAGTTTGTATGGAAAAGAGTTTGAGTCCAGGCCCAGCAGCTATGGGTTCTAGGGTAGGTTTATCTCTTCAAGGTCTAGATGAAGTTACCTTTCACCTCAGGTGTTTGTTTATGTTTGTTGTTGTTGCTCTGTCTGCTGGGACTAATACTTTAGAGCTTACTTTATTGGATAGCAACAAGGATTACTCGAGATTAAAAGGTGTTTTGAAAACTGAACTCAAACAGCTATAATTCTCCATGGCAATATTCTAAATGTACATGGATTTTCTGGGCAGATGATGGAAGTGTACCATTCAGAACCCTTTATGAATAGTTTTTCCTTTACCTGGTACTTCTGTTAGGGTTTTCCTTGCTCCTGCATATAATATAGTAGTATGTCCTGTTTCCACTTCCCCCTTCTCTTGATCAAGGCTATTATGGGACCCCCAAAACAAAGCCAGTAGGATGTATTAATTTGCTTTTTTATAAATCTTTCTGTAGGATGATCTTGATCTGACAACCTCATGTCATGCCATGTCCTTCCATCTGGCAAGATCTCAGAAACGGAACAGGGTAGATTCTTGTTCTCAACAGGAGGAGACTCAGCAACATACAGAAGAGGCACTGAAAGAACTTTTCCAACATGTTCATAACATGCCAGACTCCACAAAGAAGAAGCAGCTTATTAGACAGGTACCTGCATGCAGGGAAGTAGGCTGGGCTCTAGGAATCACCACAGAGCACAGTTAAGAATCTCTCTTAGGTTGCAATGTACTCTATCATGAGTTCCAGGACAGCCAGAGCTGCACAGTGAGACCCTGTTACACCAAATAATGAGTGAGGGTATTAGCTAAAGACTATACACTGTGTCTTCCTTTTTTCTACTGGAGATGCCGCTACACAAAGAGCTGACAGCATTGTAAGTCTGCCTTCAGTCTCTTTCCATCACAGCAGTACTGGCGGACAACTGCAACTCCAGTTAGAGAGCTTTACTACTTTAGAGACATTCTGGCTTAGGAATGTAGCTCAGCTGGTAGAGTGCTTGCTCTACGTTCACAAGGCACTGGGCTGGATCCCTGACACCTCATAAACTGGGTATAGCCTTCTAGGTTTATAATGTCATGTCTTGGAAGATGGAGGCAGGAAGATTAGGAGTTAAAGGTCATCCTTGGCCGTACGGAGAGTTGAGGCCAGCCTCTGCTACATGATAGTTTATCTTAGAAATAAATCCTGCCATACAACTTATTAAACTGAGGACTGCTGTGGGTTGTGCTAGTAACTTTCTATTTTCAAGGTGTTTGTTGCAAAAATAATTCTGGTTTACTGTCAGATCTTAGACCAGTTCATAAGCATCTGGATCTCGGTTTCCTATCTGTAAACAGGGATAGTGAATGTCCCTTCTGCTTGCTGATTGCTTATCAACCTACTCTCTACATCTGTACAGACTCTTTGGCTCTCTGGGTATTTATGCTCAGCTGTTGCTTGCCCTAGGCTGTCATTTCTTGCTGGACATTGTACTCTGTATTTTCTTGTAGTTCCATAAGCAGTCTTTGACTCAAACACCGGGGCAGGAACCTTCTACTCCCAGGGTCCAGAAGAGAGCCCGTTCACGCTCCTTTAGTGGGCTTATTAAGGTAAGCTTTTGTGCTACTGCTGTTCCCATTGGCTCTCAGGAAATTGATGTCTTATTTTCTTGTGCACAAGCAGTTTAGTGGTTCTATTTCTTGGAGTTCTATAAAAGGTCTATTGGTGAGGGGACAGAGATTGGAAAGACCTTTTTACTATGTCACAAATGGAATTAACTCTGTAGAGAAAGCAACACCAGCCTTCCCTTCCTCCCTGTGTCTGAGTACAGGAGTCTCTTACTCCCTGCTGCACACTGCACACTCTTATTTATCTTATTTACTCATTTATTTATTTATTTGAGACAGGGTTTTTCTGTGTAGCTCTGGCTGTCTTGGAACTAACTTTCTCTGTAGACCAGTCTGGCCTCACAAGGACCACCTGCTTCTGGCTCCTGAGTGCTGGGAGTAAAGGTGTGCACCACCGCTGCCCACTTACACTATACATGTGTGGGGAAGTCAGCAAGTTGAGGACTAAGGAAATTGTTGGACAAATGGATTTTCTAATACCCCAGTGAATTTTGATATCATTAATTTTGGTGAACTTAATGATTTCACTGTTTTAGTCTCTTTCCATATATTATAATTATCTGAAATCTTGTTTTTAGAACAAATAGAAGTTGCTACTGTCCCTGTGTGCAGATTGTTGAGCATGGGTGCAGTTAGTGAATGCTGCCATCAGATGGCAGTAGGTGATTTGGTCATAGGGGTCTAATTTCAATGCCTAACTAAGGTAGGCTAACCTCGAGGGATTAGCTCTATCCTTAGTTCTACTTTTCTTTTAAAAATGGTTTACCAAAACTTAGTTTTTTCTATAACAAATGTGTGCCTTTTAATTTTCTCCCCTTTATGCTGAAGTCATTAGCAATTGCAATTTCATTTAGCCCTAATTTTGATCCTTTTAATATTTTGTAGAAGTCCAGAATCCATTCTCCATTCACACGGATGGGGCCAGTGGCCTTTGAAACATGATACTTGCCACTGGAGGGTTTTCTTTGCTATCCATAATGGAGTGAAAAGGCAACTTGTGGAATAGGAGAGAATATTTGCAAGTCATGTATCTGGTTAGGAGATAATATCCAGAAAAATAGAAGGAACTTGTATAGCTCAAAATTGCTGAAAATCCAAGTTCATTATAAAACAGGCAAATAAGGTGAGTAGACATTTCTCTCAAGACACACACATAACCAAGAAAGACAGGAAAAGGTGTTCATCATCATAATCGTTAGGGGCGTGTAAAGCAAGTCCACAGTGCTGGCCACTTCACACGCACTAGGGTGAGCTGTCCACAAAACAGAGTTATAGCTGTTGATGCAGACACAGGGAAATGAAAACCCCATACACTACTGCTAGGAATGTAACTGTCTCTCAGAAAATCAACAATAGAATTACTTTATGATACACTGATTTCAATTCTGTGTACATGCCAATGGATTGAAAGCGGGGTCTCAGGAGTTATTTGTAAACCTGTGTTCATGGAAGCATCATTTACAGTGGCCAAAGATTGAATCAGCCTCGCTGTCCATTGAATGACTGAGGATGGGAAGTGTAGAGAGAGTGGAGGTCACTCGTCCTCAGAAAGGAAGGCGGGTCTGATGTATCCCTCACTGTGGTGGGTCCTGAGGATGCGACGCTAAACCACACAGGCCAGTCACCAAAGGCCAAATGTTGACGGTTCTGCTTATCTGGGTACTGAAGTGATCACCGTCATGGAGACAGGGAATGATTTGTGATACTCAGTGGCCAGAGGTATGGAGGGAATGAGGTGTTCTCTTCTGTTTTGGAGGAATAGTGTGGGGATGGGTGAGCTGGCTGTGTTATGACACTGACTGTCGTGATGCCACTGAAATATACACTGAAGTGGATAAGGCCATAAACTTGATTGTAGTTAGTTCTTTTCCTTTTGAGACAGGGTCTCTCTATGTAGCTCTGGCTACATATAAGTGTTCGTATAATTGAAGTTGGATGGATGTGGTTTTGCATTTTGGCTTGAGGTGTATTTGTAGTTACTGCTTGAAATGTAGATGTTGTTATCTGTTTGACTTTACTTACCTCTTGACTAAAGGAGTACTCGAACTTCAGAAGTGGCACTGCCAGCTGAATCTAGGACCTCATACATATGAGCAAGCACTCTGCCATTGAGCTATAAAACAGAGAGACAAGGTGTTTTCATTATAAATGAAGAGACTTTGATAGAAGAAATAGGTTTTTGATCAGTAGCTCTGCAGTGAAATAGTTAAGTACCATTTTTACTTGTGAGTGGTGCTAGGGCCTTGCACATGGCAGGTTCAACTCTGCCCTTTTGAAAATTCCCTGGAAGCTTTTTAGCTAGTCTCCTGGACCCTGACATTCCCAGTTCACCATCCTCAGATGATTCCTGTCTTCTGGAGGGAGGATATGCAGGCCTTGTTTTTTAGCGTGTGTGTGTGTGTGTGTGTGTGTGTGTGTGTGTGTGTGTTTTAGCTGTTTGGTTTCTTTTTTAAAAATAGCTATTTTATTTTTAAGTCTTTTAAAAATTAAAACTTTGGAAGTTAGTCAGGCAGTGGTGGCACACCCCTTAAATCTCAACACTAGGGAGGCAGAGGCAGGTGGATCTCTGTGAATTTAGGGTCAGTCTGGTCTAGAGTGAGTTCTAGGACAGGTTCCAAAGCTACACAGAGAAACCCTGTCTTGAAAAACCAAATAACAACCAACCAACCAACCATAACAAAAAAACTTTGGAAGCTGGAGAGATAGCTCAGCAGATAAGAAGGAGCATTTGTTGCTGTTCCAGGGGACCAGAACTCAGTTCCCAGTACCCACCTTGGGCAGTTTACAGCTGTCCACAATTCCGGCTCCAGGGGTCATAATGCTGCTGCCCTCTGCAGGGACCTATACTCACATGTGATGTGTGTGCACACACAAATAAAACTAAAACAAAATCTTAAAAAAATTAAAATTTGCTTTCTCCCAGTTCCACAGAGGTTTGACAGTAGGTCCTGCACCAGCTTCTTCTTTTGGAGGGAGGTTGTCCTCTAAAGTATGTCATGTAAATAACTGATCACATTAGGATGTTCTGGGCCCCGCTGTTGATAGTCATAATGTAGAGTTTAATGCTTTAGTTTTTTAGTTGTTCAATATTTTTTCTTTGGTGTTTTTGTTTTGGTAATGTTCTTGTTTTGGAATTCAGATTTACTCTGCAGGGAAAAGGGGAGGGGCTCCTCTAAGATAGAGTTGTTACCATGAGCTGCTGCATCAGGTCACATCAGCTTCCAGGCTGCTAAGAAGACCTTATATTTTTGCTTTGAGAGGCCCTGGGGCCTTTTATGGCTGTATTAGGAACACTAGACAATTTCTGCATATTACTGTGAGGAAGGACAGCGAAGCAGAATCCTAGAGTCAACCCAGTCTATGGTTCCCTTAGTCGGGAGAGGAAGGGACCCTTAGCAGCTGCCAGAGAGAACACACCTTCTACAAACCCCATGCCTCCAAGAAAGTCCAACCCTCAAGAGTGACTGGTATTTCTTTTATGCTTACAGGTGCACTGCTAATAGCTAATATTAGGTAGACTAAATCACCCAGAGAAACAGTAGTTCTTATTGTTTGCTATGTGCCTTCCCCTCATGTATGACATGGTCCAAGTCTGTGCAGAAGTTATCAGTGTGCTGAGATTTTTGTTTTTGCTTTTGAGACAGGGTTTCTCTGTGTAGCTTTGTAGACCAGGCTGGCCTCGAACTCAGGGAGATCCACCCACCTCTGCCTCCTGAGTGCTGGGATTGAAGGTGTGTACCGCCACTGCCCGGCTGATGCTGAGGTTTTTAATTGAGGAAGTTGTAGTTTTGAAGATCAGCACAGTTACAAAATAAAATAGCAAATGCTCACGAACAAAATATTTTCTGTTTCCAAATCAGCGCAAAGTCCTGGGCAATCAGATGATGTCAGAAAAGAAAAACAAGTCCCCTACTCCAGAGTCTGTGGCCATGGGTGAACTGAAGAGAGTCAGCAAAGAAAATGTGAGCTTGGTAAGATCACGTCCTTCCCTGTCCTCTGTGGGAAGAAGAGAACAGTAGGTAGGCTAGCACTTGTTGTGCTGTGATTCTCTGGCTCAGGCGGCATGTTCAAGGCCTATGCTGTAGGTTTTCACCAAACCAGACAGAGCATGTGCATTAATGTGCTTTTTGCTGTGGCGATAAACACTGACCAAAACTCAGGAAGGAAAGGGTTTATTTAGCTTACAGCTTACAGTCGTCCATCATGGAGGGAAGTCATTGCAGGAACGCAAGGCAGGAACTCAAGCAGAGGCCATGGAGGAGCACTGCTTAATGGCATGCTCCCTGAGGGTCACTAAGCTTCTCTCTTTCTGGGGGGTAGAACCCAAAACTATTTGCCCAGGGGACATCTCCACAGTGCCTGTGTCCTTCTACATCAATCGTTAATCAATAAAATGCCCTATGTGCTGGCTTACAGGCCAGTCTAATGGAGGCATTATCTTAGTTAAGTCCCTCTTCCCTGATGACTCTAACTTGTGTCAAATTGATAAAAAGAACTAAGCAGCATAGATGGTTACAAGTACAGATGACTAATATGGCACAATGGCTCTGTAAACAAGTGCTGAAGGGTCAGCTAATTCTTACCAGAATGTCATAGGGCAGGCCCCGGGCTCTGTATTTCCTATGGGTGGTCCTTCAAGGTAGCCTAGGCTATTTCCTTCAGCTAACAGCAGCCAGTTAAGATTAGAGATATAGCTTACATCTCTGTAAAGCACTGACATCTGAAAATTTAAGCCGCTCTACAATTTTCTCATTGCAGTTCTTTTCTGGCTCTCCAACTGTCACAATGACACCAACAAGATTGAAATGGTCTGAAGGGAAGAAAGAGGCGAGGAAAGGTACTCATTGTAGTTGTCCTCTGTTCTGAATGTGGTTCTTGTGTCTTCTCAGTCAGCAGCGTTTCTTGTTTGGAATGTCTAAGATGGTATTATTGTAGTCAGAGGGAATTTGGATGCTTATTCTACTTGGCACTGCTCTTAGGTACTGAGGGGCAGAGTTTCAAATACTGACCCACTGGACAGACAGAAGCCACACACCAACTGTTTGAAGAACACGTGTTAAATTAGATGGGACACGTACAAATGCTGTGTAAGACTGAGAATGGCCATGCTGAGAGCCCCTCAAGTCATGGTCCTCTGCCACACATGCTTTAGACCTGGTCACTGAAGCTGTTCTTTTCTTCTTTTTCCAAGACAGCATTTCTCTGTGTGGCCCTGGCTGTCCTGGAATGGGCTCTGTAGACCAGACTGGCTTTGAACTCAAATCCACCTGCCTCTACCTCCTGAGTGCTGGGATTAAAGATGTACATCACCACTGCCTGCTATCACTGAAACTTTTCTGATGCAGAAGGACCTTGGAAATCATGTCAGCATGATTTTGAAGCTCTTTAGTACAAAGAGGATTATTATTATTATTTTGTTTATTTTTTGGAGACAGGGTCTCTCAAAGAGAGATGATTTTTTAAATGCCAGAACCATGGACTGTTCTGAACTCTTCTGTTAAAAGGCTACTGCAGGCAGGCATGGTCTGCACACTTGGAATCTCAGCATTCAGCAGGGACAGTAGGAGGATTTCTGAGAGTTCAGTTACTATTAGGTGTATCAGCAGTAGAAAGAGTACAAGTGTGTTGGTCATATAGCTCAGTGGTAGAGCCTTGCATCCTATGCCCATCACAACAAAGTCGTTGTGATGCAGCTTTATTCTTTTCTAGGAAATTAGGCCTTAATATGGTCTTCTTACTCACTTTAATGAATGCCTGAGCCTACTTCTCTTCCTCCCTTTCTTTTGACCAGAATTGTGCTTAGTATCTGAGGTATTCATATCCAAACATTTTTTAAGTGTCCATGAATCAAAGCATGAGCTATTTTTTTAAAGAATATGGTCTATTAATTATGGCTGTTGTTACTTTCATTTTTAAAGATAAGCAGAAAATCATTTCTCTGTCTTGACAACTCTGCTTTGGGAGGAAAGAAAGGAGTTTCTTCAGGCCCACAGATAATCCATGATGTTTTTTGGTGGATGAGGAATGGCGTCACGTGTCAGAACCTTCCTCCTCTCTTCTGGCACCTTCTCTGACGTCCTGATGACAGACCACTCTTGTTATCTTCCTCTTTAACCTTTCCCCTAGTTACTATGGCTTACTGTTGTCTGCCAGTCCCTCGCTTCTCTCTGTTCAGTTTTTGTAGTGATGGGATTGACTCCAGGGCTTCACACATGCTCTACTGTTGAGCTACATTCTCAGACAGGCCTCCCCCCTTCCTTAAAATCTTTTCTTTCTTTTTTGAGACATGGTTTCTCTTAGGTTTTCCAGGTTGGCCTTAAGTTTGCAATCTTCTTACCTCTGCCTCCTGAGTAGCTGGGATTTTAGGCATTATATAGGATTGTATATCACCACATCTGGCTTGCTCTTGGCTAATTGAGTTAAGTTCTCCACTCTTCTCTCTTGCATTTTGCCCTTCTTATTACCTTGATCTGCTTCCACAGCTCACTCCTAAATAGCATCTTTAGGTCTGAACTCTCCAGTCTCCAAGTTTGCAGTTCAGGAGCCAGCCTGCCACGTATCTCTCTTACAGAACAATGGATACAATCCTGCTGTTCTTGACAATGATGTTGAAATCACCCCCAGAAGAAACATTGTGCACTGTCACTGTCACCACCAATAGCATGATGGAGACTTCTGTTTAGCCAAGGGCTTCTTAGCCTGGCCACAGTTGACACTTTGGGTCATGAGTCCTTGTGTGGAGCTGCCTTTGCATGGGCGATATCTAGCAGCTTTGATCCAGCAGATGCTACTAGCATCCTGCCTTAGTTATGATAATTGAAAGTTCCTGCAGACATTACCAGTGTCCCTTGAGGATACAGGGGCTTACCCCAGATGAGAACACATGATGGAACACCCACTCATCAAGGGCCTTATTTTCAGCACTCAAATCTTTCTAGTTTTTCCAAGTCCAGCTGAACCTTCTCTCTTGCTCTTCTTTGAAGTCTTGTCTGCCTCACCGAGCCAGACAGAGTAACTTTCCATTGAACTCTGTCATCACTCCTGAAATATGGACATTGACTATGATTATGATGTTTGCCTCATCTGCATTGTCACATCCCTGCATCGGGTTCAAGGAGGCAGGTCAGACTTTAGGATAGATAGTATCCGTGTTGAAGTGTTCGCCTGGCGTCTGCAGTGACTGGGTTCAGCCCTTGTCCTCCAGCACTCACTCATGCACACCACCCACCTTCAACCCTTTGTCTCAGCAGTGTCTGGCTGTGGCTTGCTGCTCTTGGTTTAGTAACTGGCCTCTGGTGAGCAGGGCAGTGCTGGTAGCAGCACAAGCTCCACCCACAGTCACGTAGACTTGGGTCAGCTCCATCTTAGAGCTTGATGGCTTTCTGTCCTGGGCAGGTGAGCTTCTGTGGTTGCAGGGTCTGCATCTGTGAAACGGCAGCATACTACCTCCCATGTAGGTAGCTGTGAGGATAAATGAGGTAATGTACACAAGGAACTTGGGGCGAGAGCCCTCACTATATGTGTCCCTACTAAGTGATGACTGTTATTGTCATTAAGAAGAGCAAATTGGGCTGGGCAGTGGTGGCGCACGTCTTTAATCCCAGCACTCGGGAGGCAGAGACAGGTGGATCTCTGTGAGTTCGAGGCCGGGCTGGACCGACAGCCTCCAAAACAATACAGAGAAACCCTGTCTCGAAAAACCAAAAAAAAAAAAAAAAAAAAAAAAAAAGAAGAGCAAGTTGGATGGAAGCAGAAGCACTGAGACACACTCCTGGAATCCAGTTGTAGAGAGGGAGGAGTGATGAGCAAAGGGGTCAAGATCATGCTGGGAAATCCACAGAAACAGTGACCTGAGCAAGTCTGACAGCTGGGGAACCAGCATAGGACCAAACCAGGCCCCCTGAACGTGGGTGTCAGCTAGGAGGCCTGGGCAGTCTATGGGGCCTGACAGTGGAACAGTATTTATCCCTAGTGCATGAATGGGCTTTGGTAGCTCATTCCCCATAGAGGGATACTCTCTCAGCCTAGACACACAGGGCAGGGCCTAGGCCCTGCCCCAAATGATTTGACAGACTTTGATGGTCCCTTATGAAAGGCCTCACCCTCCCTGAGGAGTGAATGGGGGTGGATTGGTGGGGGGCATGGGAGGATAGGAGGGAGAGAAAACTGGGATTGCTATGTAAAATAAGATTGTTTCTAATTTAAATAAAATTTATTAAAAAAAAAACTAGCTGGGAATAGGCCAAGCAGACTTGATGATATTTACATGGTAGAGGGTCGAAGTCTCACATTGTTTAATCCAAATGTGGAGAAAATACTAAAGCATACATTCTGTAGCTTTTAGATGGGGCATTTTAAGAAATGAGTGTTTTAATTGATGTCTAATCCTCTTGTTTCTGTTTAACCTAGGATTCCTCTGAAGGGTTAACTGGAGTTCCCCTGTTGTCCACGTGAAGTTTCTCTTCAGTGGGACAGGTATTACTTCTCTTCTCAGTGAAGTTTGCAGCTCGCTCCTTGCATTGAATTGTGAAAGCCAATCAAAGCATGATGGACTGATACCTCTAACCCTCTCACTCACTGGATGTCTTTGAAGCTGTGCCTCTCAGAGACTGTTCTGCTCTGTGTTTGTTTTTTAACATCAGAATCCACTAAACTCCTGCCCGCTGCCAGCTCACACAGTGCAGTAGGTGGGCAGCCCAGCGGTGCTTAGTCAGTGTGCTCAGGACAGCTCTGTTTCTCAAAATAGGAAATTTTATGTTTAATTGCTGGTAATATTTTTTAAAAGTCCTGTCAGTCTTAGTGGATTGCTCTATTTTAACTGGTATTTGTGGCTTTTCTCCGTGTTGTCAGTAGGGAGTAATTGATTGTTGGTTTACTTGTTTTAAAAGCCATTGTTTAGATTAATAACCTAGGTGTGTTCTAAGTTAAATGCCTTTGTCGCTTTTCATTTTGAGCTTGAGAAATCTCTTTATCTTATTTGTGTTCAAAGGATTACTATTTCTTTATTATTTCTTGTGTCTAATATAGGGAATTTGACACAGCAATGAAAGAGAGTTTCAGTACAGTGTATTTTAACAGATTTCAGCTATTAATAAGCTGTGCCGCCATGCCTCACTGTCTCCCTTAGTGATGTGGGAATGGCGTGTGGTTGTTAACCTGCTTCCTTCCTTCGAATCCTCACCCGGAACATCTCTGCTGCCACTGCAACACTTCTATGCCAGATCCCTGTGACTTGGAGAGAGTCACGATCTGCTACATAGAGCGTGCTACAGTCTGCATGTGGTGGGAACTAACTCTGCAGTAGTCCCAGGAGAGGCTGGTTGACTTTGGTAGGATCCTGTCACACATTCCTAGGTGTCAAATGTGCCACTCAACTCTCTCCTGAGAGCAGCTTGGAACAAGGAAAATAATGCGTAGCAATCTCTGCAGGTCCATAAGATCTAATAAAAGAGCTCCCACAGGAAGCAGATGTGGTGTGTCACCAGTGATCTAGGACAGTTGCTCACTGCCCCTCTCCTTGTCAGGACGGGCACAGGAAGCAAGAGTAAAACAGAACCCCTGTCCACTGAGCAGCAGGTGGTGGGTGAGGATGGGGAGGTATGGACTGACTTGAACCATGCAACCATCCTCACCCCACTGAGGGGAACCAGGCGCACAGCAAACAAAATACGGTTTGCCAACCTAATGCTAAACAATTGAAAGTGCTGTGGTGTTGTTGAAATGAGAGCTGACTTTGGGGTAGCAGAGGCTGACTTTGTGTCTCGTCAGCCCACTCTTCACACTACACTGTTTGTTTTGTTGTTGTAACAGCAGTGGTAAAGGAAAATGTGGGTTTTGGCCTTCTAGTTGGATAGTTTGGGAGCAGTGGAGGTGTTTAAGCTCCTTTCTCTAAAAGTGCTTTAGGTCATTCTTAAAGATCTTCATTAGCAAATTCATTTGTCTAGGTTTTTGTTTGACTCTTTTTGTTATTGTTGTCATTGCTAAGAAAAAGTTTATTTCTTTTTAAATAAGTTTCTTATACTAGGTATATAGTGAGGTCAAACAGAAATCCTTTTGTATTACCAAATCTAAATAGTTCTCCCCAGCACAAAGCTTGCTTTAAGTGTGTTCCGCCATACTGTAGTGTGGCTCTGGGCAGAGAGCTGAGCAGTGCCTTCTGAGAGAGAGAGAGGGAAGACTGAGGAGATGTGTGAACGAGTGAAGCCATGCCCGGGGGCGCTCTGGGTGAGGGGAGAGAGAGAGACTTAGACTCCGTACACACACTTTTCTGTAACTAGCCTCTTGGGCAGTTACCATGTTATTTGGGAATGTGTATTTTATTTATTTATTGGATACTCAGTCTCTTGCTTTAAGGGTATTATAGGTCATTTTTCTTATGGAAGCTGTGATCCAGTGTAAAATAAACTTGAGGAAGAGCATAACCGTCTTTTTGTGTCTTATAATATGTGGCTGTTCTAATCCTGTGGTATCTTCTGGGAAACTCAGACAAAAACTCCGTTGTTGCTCCAGGTTTCTCTTGCCCTTCTGACAGGTGTAGAGTTGCTGTTTTTGAGCCAGTATTTAACTAATGTTTTTAACCTGTGTCTTTTGTTTTTGTTTTTGTTTTTGAGACAGGGTTTGTCTGTGTAGCCTTGGCTGCCCTGGAACTCAATCTGTAGACCAGGCTGGTTTTGAACTCAGAGTTCTCCTGCTTCTGCCTCCCAAATGCTGGGATTAAAGAAAGGCATGTGCCACCACTACCCAGCTAACCCATGTCTTAAAGGATATTTGTTGTGTTTATTTTTCATGTTGGAGCAATCTCTTTGGAAGTACCATTCCTTTCTTTCGGGGTTAATTACCACAGGCTTTGATGTTGTGTCAACACAGGGTAGTATATTTTTGCCAGAGGGACCAAATATGAAGAGGCAGATCGTGTCGGATTTGGATCTGCACCGGGTGAATGAGTGGAGGCTGTGGGCCCTTTTTCTAACCTTTCACAGAAGTGGATTTTCTCACTGAAATCAGTGACCAGGTTTGAACCCCTCCCCTAACATACACACACACACACACACACACACACACACACACACACACACACACACACACAGTGAAGGGAACGAGGCTTAGGAGACATTGGTCGTATTTCAGTACCAGCACAGCTGGTAAGTGCTGAGGGAACCACAGTTGGCCCTCCACTCAAGATGTGCTTTACTTGGAAGGTCCTCCTAGAGCCAGTCAGGATTGTGAGGAAACAGCCCTGGGAGATGAGGTAGTATAGGATGCTGACTACAGAGACAGGATGCTGCTGGTGGCGATTTGAGCTCTGGACATGGCTATTTTGTTGGATTGTATGGAGGTCAGGTCATCACAGGGCAGAAATGTTGTTTCTCCTGAGTAGTGTTCTGTGTGACTTCCCTCTCCGGAGCCTGTGTCTGTGTATGGTTTGAAATACTGCTGTCTCGGGGACCCAGCAGCCATGTGACTGGCCATGTGACCATGTGTAGGCAGGAGGCCATCTTTGAGAACAGCCGTCTCTAGACTGCCTGCCTGCTTACTTTATATGGGCCTCATACTGGGACTGTCATCTAAGCTCTGCGCAGAGGTCTTTACTCTGTGACACCCTTTTCCTCTGGAAACAGCATCATCCCTGCTCTACGCCTCGAAGCCTGCAAACTGAAGTTAGGATCCAGTCCAAACCAATAGAACTGTCCTAGAATTTGGCTCCCTGAGGTGAAGGTTTTGAGTGACTCCAGTTAACCCGATGGCAGACTCAACTGTCAAAAGCTGGCTCTACTAATTATACAGCTAATGCTGCAAGCAGTGTGGAGCTGATGGAGGTGGGCTACCAAGGAGATGAGTGCTTGTGTCACCATGGAAACTGGAGTGTGTGAGGCCACAGCCCATGAGAAAGAGCCTTGGAGCATGCCTCTGGGATGCTGTAGGAAGGGCAGTCTGTCACCCAAGGTCTTTCAGCAAGGCTAGTCTGTGCTTGTTCCATGTGCTCGCTCACTGACCCCAAAAAGGTTTCTTAAGAGAGGGTTGTACCTGTTTGTTACTTTTGATTATTTTTCATATATGTGTAATATAAAGAAACTATCATATATATTGTTTTTATATTCATGTAATATTCTGAAATTAAATTTCTGTTTCATACCTGTGGGCTCTGACTGGTCTCTTGGCTGACATTGCTGTGAAGGGAAGTGGCTTCTTGCTCTAAGGGGCATGATGTGTCTGCAAGTGCTCTTCTTTGGTGTGTTTTCCAGTGGGGAGGGATGTGGTGGGTTTCGGAGAAGTGGGCTTTAGCTGAAGAGATTTAGCTAGATGAGGCAGCACACACCTTAATCCTAGTATTTGGGAGGCAGAGGCAAGAGGTTGTGAGTTGAGGCCAACCTAGACTACATGCCAAAAAACAAATTAAGGCTGGGTATGGTGGCACACACCTTTAATCCCAACACTTGGGAAGCACAGGCAGGTGGATTTATGTGAGTCTGAGGCCAGCCTGGTCTACAGAGTGAGTCCTGGAGGACAGTCAGGACTGTATAGAGAGAACTTGTCTCAAAAACCAAACCAAAACCCACAAAGCTTTGAGCCCTGGGGTAGGTGGCCCACTCCTTGAGGAGAGCAGGTTGTCTAAGTTACTGCCTCCCTCTGAGTTATTCCATATTGTGGGGAACAGTTCCCCAATAGATTCCATTTTACAAAGTACATCCAACTCCCTCTTAAAATTTCTAGAAATCGCCTGGTCTACAGAGCAAGTTCCAGGACAGCCTCCAAAGCCACAGAGAAACCCTGTCTCGAAAAACTAAAAAAAAAAAAAAAAAAAAAAATCTAGAAATAGCTTGTTTTTACTCTTTATGCCTTGGTATTAAGGAATGATTAATCCAGTCAAACCAAATATGTGGGCAGGAGAGAAAGAAAGGAAGCCAGCACGTGCCAGAGGAGGAAGAGCCCACAGGGTTGCAGCTGCTCTACTGAAAACGAGCTAGTGCAGAGTAACTAGGAACACATCAGCCGTTCATATGGACACAGCTGCGACTCTCTGAACATAGCCGCCACGACAGTTACAGACTTCAGTTTGGACTTGAACAGTTGCACTCATCATGTCTTATGATCAGTATCTATGGCAGTACCTCAGAGAGGGGGTAGACATACCGGAAATAAAAGTGCAATGTGAAGTGGGCATGCGTCGTTCATCGATGAGAGGACATTCTGAGAGGTGCATCGTTACACAATTTTGCTCTTGTGTGACATCTTAAGCTGTGCTTACATATGTGGCCTCGGGAGACACAGTAAATAGGATGTGAGGATGCTAGCTTGGTGTGCCATGCTGCTTACAGAAAGGTTTGGTTTCTTTGGAAAACAGAGGGGTCCCCCCTAAAATAATGATTAAAAAGTTTAGCATGGTAAGTGGCAGAGCAGTAACTTGGCTGTTTACAGTCATGGCTCAGTGTGTACTGTCCATTATTGTACAGGCTACACTTTTATATGGCTGGTGGCAAAGTTGGTCATTTTCCACAAGCTCCAGCACAAATATGTGACACACCGCTCTGTGGGTGAGTTACATCTTGACTAGGCAGTGGGAGTTTCAGCTCCATGACACCCTTATGAGACCACCATTGCGTGCAGTCTCTTGTTCATGAAACATCCATGGCATGCGGTTGCAAATATTCCAAGCACTACATCTAATGCTTAAAAACGAGTCACAAACTTCAGTACTCGAATGTGAGCATTAGAAGGGTAGAAGGAAGCTGGGGGGAGGACTCAGTGGGCAACAGCACCTGCTGTGCAAGCGAGAGGAACTGAGTTCAGATCCCCTGCACCCACAGAAAAGCCAGTGTAGACTTGGGCAGCTGTAATCACAGTGCTGAGGGAGGGCAGACAGACAGACAGGTGGATCTTGCTGGAAAAACGGTGACGTCCAGGCTCAGTGAGACACCTGCCTCAAGGGGACAGAGTGGAGCATGTTAGAGTAGGGTGCCCAGTGTCCGTCGTCTAGAGTCTGAGTGTGTACAAATGTGGGCACCTTCTCCTGACTCATGCACACACACATTCAACACACATAGGGAAGATGAGTCCAGATAGGAAGCTCCAGCCCCATCAGATGGCATCGCTGAGAGCAGTAAGCCAGGTAAAGCAGGGGTCACTGCTTCATTCATGATGGGCTTTCAGAGTGTTTCACACTGTGGATGCTGTGTGTGTGTGTGTGTGTGTGTGTGTGTGTGTGTGTGTGTGTGTGTGTGTGATGTGACCTGACCCATTGGTGGGACTGGGAAACTCCACTGTGTAAACTGTATTGTTTTTATTTTATCAGGTCTATTCAGTCTGGTCCCCACATAGTTGTGCTGTAGCCATGAGCAGTTGCCTCTGTGAGGAGGGACTGTCAACTGTAAACACCCTGCTCTGTAAACGAAGGCGTTGGTTCTATTTGCTCTCTCAGTTTAAAGAGCTGCGTGGGAATTCTCCACAGGCATTTTCTGCTCTAACTGCTCATAGTCCCCAGCTCCAGAAGGGTCTGGAAGTAAGAGGTTAGAGGTCTTGCACCCTCCCTCCTCCTTGACACTCCCCCCCCATTTCTCAGGCAAGGTTTCTCTATGTAGTCCAGGCTGTCATGAATTCAGAGACCCAGCTGCCTCTGCCTCCCGAGTGCTGGGATTAAAGGTGTGCGCCACCATGCCTGGCCAAAAATTGTTAACTTCCTAGAGTTCACATGTCCAGCATGAATGAAAAGAGGTATGCTTCATATAACGCACAGTGGAAAACAGGGCTTGTGCATTTCTGTTTAGGACCAGAATAAACTGCATTATATTAGTGTCAAAACAATTGAGGGCCTGGGGAGATGGTTCATAGTTAGGAGCATTGACTGCTCTTGCAGAGGACCCGAGTTCAGTCCCCAGCACCCATGTGTCTGTAATTTCAGTTCCAGGTGATCTGATAGCCTCTGTTGGCCTCCTCAGGCACCCGGCACATGGTGCACAAACATACATGCAGGAGAAACACCCCTACACATAAAATGCACTAAGAAATGACTGGATAAACATTAGAAACAGTTTGCATTTGTGACAGGATCATGGGAAGTTGATGAGGGTTGCCACGGATGCAGAGATGCAGGAGAATCAGGACAGGACTGTCTCCACAGCGGGTGGGGATGGGTAGAGGGGAGCGGGAGCAGGCCCTCCACGCGGGAAGTGGTAGCGGTGGGACTATCATCATGGCTAGCATGCAGGGTGCAGAGCAGCCGCTCTCAGACTTGGATGCAGAGGAAGCCAGCTGAAGGATTTGCGAGACACAGCTGGGGGGGGGGCTCCAGGAGGTCCTGGCCTCATACGTCCGAAGCCCCAAAACATTCATGCTTAACCAGTTCCCAGCTAACAGGCTGCTGTAGGGACCACACTGAGAGGTGTGGATGTGCGGGTAGCAGGATGTGGGTAGTTCTGTGCCCAGTGGTGGGGCTGATTAAGGGAGGGAGGGCTCACTGGGAAGAAGAGAGGCGAGTGTGTAGGGTGATGTGGGGACAGCAAAGGAAGCCCAGCTGTGAGCCAGAGAGGGAGTAGCCAGGGCCCCGGACTGAGCTGCTTTCCCGCTATGGGGTTCTAATCAGTTGGGGGTTGAAGGAGGAAAAGAGAATTAACCACGCAGCAGACCATGCTAGCCATCAGGGGAGGAATAACACCTTTTTAAACTGAGCACCCACTGCACCTCCAGCATTTTATATCCAATGCCACAGGATGAGAGTACTACCCCGGGCAGACCTCTGGTGCCGTCAACTCTGGGCTTACAGGTGGTGGTATGGCCCCTGCTGCTTCCTCCGCCTCAAAATAGCTAAAGTCAGTAGTAACAATTGTTAGATGCTTTAACTTTTTTCCCCCACACTAAGATCTAGTATACAGTTGCACAGACATTATGTCTCAATTCAGAAACCCACATTCAATTTCCAGTGTTCACTCAATAAGCTACATGTTGCCATGGGATAACGCTGTCTCGTGTGTCTGTAATCACCATTTTGACCACTAGATGGCGGAAGTGTCCTATCACTCAATGTTCAGGCAGTCAGATTTAGAAAGGGTAGAGACATCCCTTAAAGCTTCCTGCCTGTCTTTGGCTTATTTTAGACAGAAGTCAAGTGAGTTAGAAGACCCCAAACCATTAAAAACTTATTCTAGGGCAGATGAGTGTCATACTAGGACATACATGGTGAATCAATTCCCACAAGTTGTCCTCTGATCTCCACATAGGGGTTATCTCTCTCTCTCTCTCTCTCTCTCTCTCTCTCTCTCTCTCTCTCTCTCTCTTTCTCTCTCTCTCTCTCTCTCTCTCTCTCTCTCTCTGTCACACACACACACACACACACACACACACACACAGAGGCCCTTAGTATAGGAATAAAACACCTGTTTCCTATTGTCTTACAGGCTAGTACCCATGCAGAAAACACTTTACTAAAAGGCAAAAAATTAAATGTGCAAATTAAAACTTCCACATTAAGATGTAATAGTAGAAAACAGAAGGGGAATTGTTTTAGGGGAGCGAAGGACCAGCTGAGGTCCCCAATGAGGAGGGCAGGGAGGGAGGGTGGACACAAAGTACGATGATGTGTGTGCATGTAAATGTCATAACGACACCCTCTGACCTGTAGCACACTATGTACATAGTAACTAGCAATTTTCCAACCACATTTATTTGCCCGCGCACATACCTCAGTGTGTAGTGGATGTCGAGAGGACAGTGTGGTGGAGTCGGTTCTCTCCTCCACTATGTGGTTCCTGGGGATTGAATTTAGTTATCAGGGTTGGCAACAAGCACCATGGCCCACTGAGCTGTCTGTCTCTGCGGCTTTGGAGGCTGTCCTGGAACTCGCTCTGTAGACCAGGCTGGCCTCAAACTCACAGAGATCCGCCTGTCCCTGCCTCCCGAGTGCTGGGATTGAAGGCATGGGCCACCAACGCCCGGCTGTGAAAGGTGTTTCTTGTGAGGAATATTTCCTTACATTGTTTAGAACAAAAGACCTGTGAAGATACAAGGGAGACTCAGCCATTAGCCTTCCTTGTTGCCCTCCGATCCTACTGTGAGGTGTTGCTGGCCTCGACTACCCTTGTGTTTCTATTCTGTATCAAGAATGAGGAAACAGTCTAGAGAGGAAAAGTTCTTTCCTGTCT